TACATGTGATCTATTAGCATGATATTTTGGCACCCACCCCCCTGTTAAAAAAATCAGATGATAAATGACACTTCCCTAACAGGGTCGGGAAAAATAGTTCAAATCTCCAAATTCCTTCGCTGCGATTTTCTATTACGCCTTTGACGATCAATGATTATCAATCCATCTGCCCAGATTAAAAAAAAAATCTTAGTTTTTTTGTGAATTGCGTAACGCTGATAATCTATGGTTACATAGCTTGGGATTCCTAAAGTCGGACCAGCCAAAATTGAGTTTTTGATGTTTTAGAAGACGAGAATCGCCACCCAAAAAAATTTCAACTATTCCGCGTGCTGTTAGGTTAGGTTTAGGGTTTTGTCGTTATGTTAAGATTTGGAGTGTATATACCAAAATATTACAAATAAAATTTCTTTGTTAATGTGTAGAAGACAGTTCCATATACTAAATTTTGGGTTATGAGAAAACGATCGAATTTTACTGATAGTACTACGTTACACCCGATCATTAAATTTGATTGGCCAAGCAAAATTTTTTAAGGGGTGTTAATTGACCGAAGATCGACAATTCAAAGATCGAACTTTTACTCTCAAGCTATTATAAACAACTATTAGTACAAATATCAATTCAAATTAAATACATATTTAAAGAAAATAAAATGTCTTCCTCTAAGGTTGTATTATTAGACATTGAAGGAACAACAACGCCAATTCCATTTGTTCATGAAAAATTGGTAATCAATTGAATTTACTTATATTATTCTACTCTAAAGTGCTCTTGGTAAATTAAAGAAACCAAAGACTGCACTTAGAGAAGACCGTATTTAAAGGATGTTTTTTGAGAGTTGATTATCTAGCAGACATTAATAGAATTAAAGTTTCCATATGTTACAACAAACCTAGTAAAATTTTTGGATGAAAATTGGTCGGAAAATGAGATGAAAGAAAATATACAACTTCTGCGTGAACAGGTAAGCAGTGTAAAAGGATCAATATGATGTCAGAAAAGTTTCAGATCTCATTTAGTATAATTGGGCATATAGAATTATTATAAAATTATAATATATAAAATCTAACTATTTCGAGCTAATTAAACTCTACCTAATACTAACTATTTATAAATTTGTTTAAATAGCTAATTTTATATCATATTTTTTTATAATAATTATATATGCCCACCTATACTAAAGATAATGTTGTTAGTCGAAATTATTTTTGCCAATGTCAAAATTTATCTAAATTAAATTGTCTAAATGTCTAAATTAATTTTTTAATAGTAATTTTTAAAAAAATAACAATGTCAAAATTGCCTAA